AACATCAGGGCCCATCTTAAATTTCTTAAACTCCCTAAATTTCTTTTCTCTTTCCCTTCTTCAGCCCTTCGATCCCTTAACTTATTTTGTCTCGCCCTTGGGACATTCCTGATGACTTCAGGCTCCGAGTCTGAATCATTATAGAAATAAGTCCTGCGACGACGTACCCTTCTACGTTGTCCTCTTCCTTGACTTCGAGAACTCCCACTTGGAGTAATTCGAACTTGTCCTTCTTCAGCCATATCTGAAATAGGACCAAGCAAACAATAAGAATGGCTACAACCATTCAATGTGACAACATATATCACAATTACTTGTGGAAGGATATTAATTGAGGGATTATGACTAAACTTATTTTAATATTAAGAAAGCAAGAGTTATCTACTGGAAAAGAATGCAATACTTAGTGAGGTAAAACCCATGTGTTCAATCACTGAAACATGACCAAAAGATGAAGAACCATTCATGTTAATATTGACTTGGCATATTCTGTCAATATATATATATATATATATATATATATATATATATATATATATATATTAATTATGAGAGGACAATAGGTGATTATATAAGTCAAAAACCTTTCCAAAGAAAGATACTACAAATAACATGATTTAAATGGTTTCCATTTTAAATCCATGAACATCTTATGGGTTCCATACTCTAAGCCATTTAATTTTTTCAGAAAAAAATTCAATACAGAAATTCAAAAAAAATTCCTTCAAGACTATTTGTTTTATATAGTGTCAACCATCTATGGACATGTGACGACCCAAAGGATCATCACCTGTTTCCTTACCTATTTTGTACTTTTGAGGCCTTGAAAACCTCGTTTAGGGTTGTCTCGATTTGTGTGCGCAGTCCGGGCGCGTAGCCGGAAAGCTTAAATATGAACTATGTGAGAAAAATGCTAAATTTTGATATTAAAATGAATAAATTTGACTTTGGTCAACATTTTGGATAAACGGATCCGGACCCGTGATTTGACGGTCCCGGAGGGTCCGTAGGAAAATATGGGACTTGGGCGTATGCCTGGAATCGAATTCTGAGGTCCCAAGCCCGAGAAATAAATTTTTGTGTGAAATTGTTTTCTGGAAATAATTAAGGAAATTGGAAACGAAATTTGATTAGAAGACTATGGTATCGGGCCCGTATTTTGGTTCCGACGCCCGGTACAAGTCTTATATGTGATTTAAGCACTTTCTATAAAGTTTGGTTGAAAACGGACGTCGTTTGACGTGTTTCGGACTTAAAATGGAAATTTGATGTTTTATGAAAATTTGGAAGAAATCACGAGTTTTGAGGCTTGATTCGATGTATATGATGTTGTTTTGGCGATTTGATCGCACGGATAAGTCAGTAGGATGATTTTGAGGTGGTATGTATGTCTGGCTTGGAGCCCCGAGGGCTCGGGTGAGTTTTGGATAGGTGTCGGAGTGCATTTTGAACTTAGAGAAAATCTGGTGCATTCAGTCCTGCAATTTTTGCATTTGCGAAGCAGGCCTCGCAAATGCGAGCCTGGCATCGCAAATGCGAGGAAGGGAAGATTGTAGATGGGTCGCAAATGCGAATAATTGGTTCGCAAATGCGAAAGTGAGCCAGTCGCAAATGCGACCTTCAGGCTCGCAAATGCAGAGTCTGGACTATCGCAAATGCGACATAAGTGTTGCAAATGCGAACATGACTTCGCATTTCCCATATTTGGTTCCGTTCGCAATTCCCATATCTGAGGCCCAGCAAATTTTATACTTAGTCGAATTTGAACTATTTTTCATCATTCTTTCAAAACCAAAACTCCTTAGGCGATTTTTCAAGAACAAGTTTCATTCCAAATCATTTGTAAGTCGATTTTTACTCAATTCTTTCAATCATTAACATCATTTAACATGTTTTCCACTTAAAATCAATGATTTTCATGGGTGAAATTGGGGGTTTTGGGTAAAACCTAGGTTTTTCTAAAATTGGGGATTTGGACCTCAATTTGAGGTCCGATTTCAAAACAAATCACATATTTAGGTTCGTGGGGGAATGGGTAACCGGGTTTTGGTTCGAACCTCGGGTTTTGACCACGTGGGCCTGGGGGCAATTTTGGAATTTTTGGGCAAAACTTTGAGAAATTCATTTTTTATTCATTCAAATTGATTCATTTAGTGTTTGTTAAAGTAATTAAGTGACTTATGACTAGATTCGAGCGGATTGGAGGTGGAATCACGGGGTAAAGCTATAGTTGAGACTTGAGTTGAGTTCAAAGCATCGAGGTAAGTGTTTGGTTTAACCCTAGCTTGAGGGATTAGGAGTTGAGTCATAATTGCTACTTGTTTTGTGTCGAGTACGACGTATGGGCATGGTGACGAGTATCCATGCGTCGGTGTCGAGCATGACCGTGAGTCTTAATTTGATAATTGTATACCCTTGTTTGATCCTATGAAAGTTGTGACTGAATATTGGTATTAGTTGTGCCAAGAAGAAGTTGAATAGGATTGGTTATAGCTGACTCTCCCTTGTCGGGATGTTTGACTTGTTGTTATTGTTCCTTTGCCGGGAAGAGTGTTAATTTGATTGTTCCCTTGCCGGGATTGTACTGTGTATTGTGTTAAAAGTAAAGGGAGCGGGTGGTACGCCTACCACAAGTGATAATAAAAGGGAGCGGGTGGTACGCCTACCACAAGTGATATTGAAATGGGAGCGGGTGGTACGCCTACCACAAGTGATATTGAAATGGGAGCGGGTGGTACGCCTACCACAGGTGATATTGAAATGGGAGGGGGTGGTACGCCTACCACGAGTGATATTGAGAAATGGGATCGAGTTGCACGCCTGCAACAAGATGAGTTGAATATGAAAGTTGCCTTATCTTTTCATTTATTGCTAGAAGTTAAACTGTAGATGTACGTGTTATTCTACCTGATATTATATTTCTATCTGTTGCCCCTGAAGCATGCTCCCTTCCCCAGCTTTAATTGTTATTTTCTTGCTACTTCTCCGTTGTACTTGTATATATATCTGCACAGGTTTATCTGGAGTCTGGTCCTAGCCTCATCACTACCTCGCCGGGGTTAGGCCGGACACTTACCAGCACATGGATCTGTGCTGATATTACGCTCTGTGCTATTTTGCACAGATCTAGGTTTCGGACAGTAGCAGCAGTAGTGTGGGAGCAGGGCTTCAGTCCAGAGAGATCCGAGGTAGCCTTGCAGGCGTCCGCAGGCCCGGCGTCTCCCCTATCCTTTATTCTGTCTGTTATCTCATTGTATTCGAGACGAACAGTTTATGTTCTCTTTCAGACGTTGTATTTGGTATTCTTAGTAGTTCGTGAGTATTGTGACACCAGTCTTGGGTAGAGGCTTTTGTTGAATCTTCCGCATTTCTATTCAGTTTTCTATAATATTAAGACTTCCGCTTATTATTTAATTTCGTTGCTTTTGTATTATTGCCGATAATTGTTAAAAGGGATTATGCTATTAATGAAAAAGTAATTAAATTTGGCTTGCCTAGCTCTCATTAGTAGGCGCCATCACGACTCCCGAGGGTGGGAAATCCGGGTCGTGACAGGACACTTCAGCACACCGAGTAAAACTTACCCGCAGTATGAACACCAAATCATTGAATATATATGTTATATATCTTATACACACTTCTACGTCTTAACCATAATTAGTTAATGCATATTCTTACTTCAATATGCTATCACTTAATCATAACTAACTAATACAGATTGATGTGAAGAATTGAGTGTGGTAATATCTTTTTTAGTGAAGATACATCATATAACTAATTAATGTGTCATCATCAAGTAAATATTATGATGTAAATACTCGTATTATGTGGCAAAAGTTATGAATAGATTTTGTCCCTTTATCTGTCATTGGTTGATACAGGGACTCTTGTATATACCCATCTGTTAACAATAAATTATTGGCACCAATAATGGAATAAGAGAATGAAGAAAATTGCCTAATTGTTAGAAGCGAAACTGGGTTTTACCATAACACACTATCAAGGCAGTATCTTTTAGCGTATAGAAAAATTAAGATTCTTCAAGGCAGTATCTCTCTACGAGGCAATTCAAAAAAACAACGCTTGCTCTGATACCATTGTTTGATTAATAATCGCGAGGCGAGAACAACATTAACGTACCTGTCAACGCAGCGAAAGAATTGTTGAACTCACCACCGAAATAATTGCCCCAAACCGAACTTTGAATCACTAGGAAACAAAGTTAATCTTCCACCAATTAGATGCCCTTTCTTGTGTGTATTTTTCGTTGGGAGAAGAAGAGATTCAGAAAAAATTCTTGAGTCAGAGAAAATTCTTACCATCCTTTTTTTTATATTGTCTCCTTCACATAAATAGGGAGAGTAATAGCGGTTAAGGAAGATAACCCACCACTCACCCCTTTTTGCACGTTCAGTTTAGTGGGTGTTTGTGGTCTAGTGGTAACTCCCCTTAACCTCTCTCCCTTATCTCTCCTAACCAGGTCGGATCAGCCCACATGGAGCGACCCATGACCCACAATCCAACACATGAGAATGAACCACCTGACAGGACTGAAAGCAATAAGCATATACAAGAGATTACAAAAGGGCCTACTCCAACTACCATTCCACCAATATGATATTCAGTACTTGAATATTAGAGGACTCAATAAGTCCTTTAAACAGAGAGAGTTCAAAGACTTCCTGAATAAGAATAAAGTAGATTTGGTAGGATGTTTGGGGACTAGAGTGAAATAAAGAACAAAAAAAAAAATTCAGATGAAGTTTGAAAGAGAATGGAAAGTGATGGAAAACTATTCAGAAGCACCTAATGGCAGAATTTGGGTGTGTTGGAAAGAGGCAGAAATGAAGCTAGATTTGCTGCAATAATCATCACAACTGGTCCATTGCCATATACAAGATAATAATTCTGATTTTCAGAGTTACTTAACTATTGTGTATGGTCTACATACTATTGTTGATAGGAAAGCTTTATGGGATCAACTAAGGAGTATAAATGCAATGACTAAATGTCCTTGGTTAATTCTAGGCGATTTCAATAGTATACTGACAGTAGAGGATAGAATAAATGGAGCACATGTTCATCAAAATGAAGTAATTGACTTCAATCAGTGCATTGAGGATATTGGAGTAGGACTGATCAATAAAAAAGGGATACAATATTCATGTAGCAATAAGAGAGGGGCTGAGGACAGGATCTATAGTCATATAGACTGGGTGTTTGGAAATGCAGATTGGTTTGGAGTATATGCAGGAATTGAAGCAGTATATCTAGTTCCTGGATGTTCTGATCATACACCTATATTGTTGAATACAGAGGTGTACAGAATGAAGATGAGGAAACCTTATAGACTATTAAATATACTGCTACAACAAGAAGAATTTAAGGGAACAGTTGAGCTTATATGGAACCAAAACATACAAGGGCACACCATGTATAAAATATGCAGAAAGTTAAAGCTATTGGAGATTCATACTAGGGGAATTGAGAGATAATACTCATCAGTGGAGGTGAAACTCAAACAATTGAAGGAGGAGTTAATTGGTATACAACAGGATATAAATGATGATCATTTAAATCCAAATCTCATTGAACAAGAAAAGAAAGTGCTGATGCTAATTGAAAAATGGGATGCAGTCTATGAGAAGATTTTAAGACAGAAGTCAAGGGCTATATGGATCAAACATGGAGACTCATATACCAAATATTTCCATGCACAGTTGAAGGCTAGGCAAGCAAGGAATAAATTTACTTCTATTTGTACAGAACAGAATGTGAGGGTGACTGATCCAAAGCAGATCCACCAGGAGTTCATACAGTTCTTCAAAAAGTTGTTAGGTGAAGCTGCCCCAGTAATGACTGGAATTGATGTTACTATTGAGATGGACCCTGTTTATCACTAGCACAACAGCAAGAAATGATGGTGCCTGTATCAAGAGAGGAGATTATAAAGGTGGTTCAAGAATTACCAAGTGACAAAGCTCCAGGAATAGATGGATATCCAGCAGAGTTCTTTAAAGAAAACTGGCAAGTAATTGGTAAAGATGTCATAAAGGCAGTAATGGAATTCTTTGATACAGGAAAGCTGCTTAAAGAAATAAATTGTACTACTATCACACTCATTCCTAAGGTGGTAAATCCTAACTTTGTAAAGGAGTTCAGACCTATTGCATGCTGCTCGACCATGTACAAGATCATTGCTAAGCTGCTCACTAACAGACTAAAGTTGGTAGTAGATTATTTGGTGGGACCTTCACGTTGGCTTTCATAGAAGGAAGAAACATTTTGGACAATGTCCTACTGGCCCATGAACTGATCAAAGGATACAACCAGAAAACAGTTTCTCCAAGATGTATAGTAAAAGTGGATATAAAAAAGGCATACGACTCTGTTGACTGGAATTTCTTAAGGATTCTAATGCTGGAATGGGTATCCCATACAAAATGGTCAACCTTATTATGGAGTGTGTAAGTACAGTCTCTTATTCACTTCTGATTAATGGAGGTTTGACACCAAAGTTTTCGGCAAAGAAGGGGCTAAGACAAGGTCATCCAATGTCACCTTATCTATTTGTTTTGGTGATGGAGTACTTGAACAGGGCTCTGAAGCAATTGAATTCAAATCCAGATTTCAACTATCATCCCAATTGTGCAAAACTAGGAGTAATTCATATCTGTTTTGCTGATGATTTACTAATGTGTTGTAGAGCGGACAGGGTATCTATTGAATTGATGATGAAACAATTTGAGAAATTCTCGACTGTATCTGGTTTACAAGCAAATATGGAGAAGAGCTCACTCTATGTGGCAGGAATATCTACACAGTATAGAGAAGAAATTCTGAAGAAAGAAGCTGACCATTGGAGAAATACCATTCAAATACTTTGGGGTTCCATTGTCCTCAAAGAAGCTCAACATCAACCAATGTATGCCACTGGTGGATAGAACAACAGGAAGAATTAGATGCTGGACAGCCAGGTTTTTGTCATATGCAGGAAGAGTTTAGTTGATAAAAAGTGTGTTGTTTGAAATGCAAACCTATTGGGCACAAGTTTTTTTGATTCCAAAGAAAGTACTTGAAATGGTTACTGCTATATGCAGGAACTTTCTATGGAAAGGAAGCATTGAAGGGAAGAAGGCACCAATAGCATGGGAAAGTGTTTGTAGACCCAAAGCAGCAGAAGGTTTGAATATAATAAACTTCTCAGTATGGAACAAGACATCAATAAGTAAACTATTATGGGCAATAGCACAAAAGAAGGACAAGTTATGGCTTTTGTTTATGCATAATCACTATATGAAGAAGAAGGATTTGAAAAATATGGAAACTCCTAAACAAGATAGCTGGGTGATAAGGAAAATATTTGAAGCAAGGAGATGGCTAACTACTGGAGTGAAGGAGTTGGAGCTATATGCAGTAAAGGGGAAGTATATAATCAGTAAAGCGTATACTTCATTTATGCCAGAATATCGAAAGCTCAACTGGAAAACATTGTTTTTGACACAAGGAATGTTACCTAGACATCAGTTTGTTTTGTGGATTCCATTGCATCAGAGACTAGCAACGGTGGATAGGCTAAGCAAATGGGGGATAACAGTGCCTAAGGAATGTGTTTTGTGTATGACTGATACAGAGGAAACTCATGAACATTTGTTCTTTGAATGTTCATATTCAAGGTTTATCTGGGAGCAGCTGCTAAAACTCTTTGGAATAAATCGTCAAGTAGGAAGATGGCATGAGGAAACTGCATGGCTGACAACAAGAACAAAGAGCAGAAATGAACTTTGGAAGATCCTGGGAAGTGCATTTGTAGCAGCAATATATCAAACATGGATGGAAAGAAACCTTCTAAGATTTCAACAGACAAGAAGAGAAAGTAGGGATATAGTTAGAGAAATTGTATTACATTTACACATTAAAGGTGAGAGCTATTGTAAATGTAGAGGAGTCTTAGAAAAGATAAATAGGTATCCATGTTAACATAGATATTAAGTTCCGGATATGGAACTTAAACTATCAAAATAGGTTATTTTTGTAGGACCCGATTCTAGAGTCAATGAGCGGGTGGATATACATATTTTCACTTGGTTAAATAAAAGTTTTGCAATTTAACCAAAAAAAAAAAAAATTAATGACAACAATTACAAGTATATCTAACAAACCAAAGGAAAAAAAATCGTTAGGCAAGAACCCCATGTAGTGTAAATTTTAGAGAATTCTAGACCTAAAAGGAAGCACACGACATTTTTTGATTTTGACCAAAAAGAAAAATAATGATAACAATTACAAGTATATCCAACATAAAATGCAGTTATGAAGGGAAAAAAAGGCAAACGATATTTCAATAGGGCCTTCGTGCTTTTAATATAGTATAGATAGATAAATATAGATATAAATTATTGTGTATATATATACATTTCCATATATTATATATAAAAATCGAAAAAAAATTGTTTGTAATAAAATATTTTTGTTTTTTGAAAACTGAAAAAAAATATTTTCAACAAAATATTTTCGTTTTTGAATATTTTTTTTCATTTATTCAGTTTTTTAACAATTTTTTTTAAAAAACAAAATTTTTCTTTTCAGTTTTTACAATTTTGTTTTGCCAGTTTTTACAAAAAAAGAAAATGCTTTAAAAAAATGAAAAAAATAATATTTTTCAAAAACGAAAATAATTTGTTGAAAATATTTTTTTCATTTTTTAAAAAACGAAAATATTTTATTAAAAACATTTTTTTTGTTTTCATAATTTTTTTTCATTTTTTACAAAAATAATGTTTTAAAAACTGGAAAAAAATATTTTTTTGTAAAAACTGAATTGTTTTTTGTAAACTTAAAAAAAAGAAGAAGAAGAAGACTTTACTAAATTAGTGGACTACTGGTGCATTAGTTTAAAAAAATGAAAATATTTTGCAAAATATTTTTTTTGAGTAATTATTTTTAATTCAGCATTGACCTAACGGTCAAAGGGCATAAGTGAACCAAAAAGGTAGACGTAGGGGTATTTTTAGCCCATAGGTGAATGAAGGGTATTTTTAAACCTTTTCCAATAGTTTAGGGGTATTTTGAACCATTCTCCATATAAAAATATATAAGTTTTATACACTTTTATGGCTACAAGATATAAATAGTTTCGGTCGCGGGGCAGTGTCATTTGGCCAACATTTATTTCTTTTTCCACTCAGCCAATTAGGGGTGTTCATAAAAACCCGAAAAATCGAACCAAACCGAAAACCAAACCAAACCTACCAAAAAAAACCGATACTTTTTAGGTTTGGTTTGGTTTTGGTTTTGAATTTTAAAAACTGATCAAATTTGGTTTGGTTTTGGTTTTAATAAAAAAATAACCGAAAAAAAACTGAACCAAACCGACTATAAAAGTAGCTATTTAAATTTATTATTACACCTATATATATGTATTTTTATATAAAGTTTCTAAATTTTTATCGTACATATTAGTCGTTTGTATTTTTAGTCTAGTTCTTTGCTATTATAATAATCTAATTCTTTGCCTTTACATTCTAGTTTGATTGGTAGTTTTCTTTTGCTAAGTACAAGAATTTATTTCATGATAAAAATAATAAATTTGTAATTGAGTACTTAAATTATTCATCACTATTTACTTCAATTATCATCAATATATCTTGGTAAATGATAGATTTCTCAAAGAGCAATTGATTTGATAGTGTTACGTTGAAAATATAATCGTCGGAATATGTATTTGGTAGTGTATATCTCATATTTAAGAAAAAAACTGATAAATAACCGAAAAAACCGAAAAAAAGACAAAAATCGAATCGATAAAAAATCGACTTACAGGTTGTTTGGCTGGTTGTTACCCTTTGTATTGTATTGTATTGTTATTCTAAAACAATGTTTGTTTTGATAGTTTATTTAAAATTGATGGTATCGTATTGTCAAATCCATTGTTCCGGAACTACCAAAAGCCCCATTTTATAAAACAGCCGATTTGGTGTGGTGGGATCGTTTCCTATTTTCTTTTCAAATTATGCCCTTATTTATTACTCTATAATTCTATTTTATTATTTAATTTTTTTAATTTTAACTCCAAATCTCCAACCTATTGACCTACTTTATCTTCTTCCATCTTTTCTAGAGTTGGTTTGCCCCGTTCTTTTTATCTAAGTCCCCGTTCAATTCTTTGTCTCTTACCATCGTTTCAATTTTCTTTTTCTTTTTTTTGCTAATATTAGTTAACCTATTTTTTCCCCAGCTTTTTGCTCTTGTTTTCAAGCTACGTAATTAATCATAAATTAGTAGAAAGAGGTTGTCTTAAATTATTTTTATGTGTAATTCTTGATAAATTTTATTTAAAACAATTGCGAGTATTTTAGTGAACTTATTAGTTACAGTACTGTACGATACAATCAAACCAAATAACAAAATGTTATTTAACAACAGTAAACGATACAATATATTCAAACGTTGTATCCATAAAACGATACAATACAATACAACACAATATAATACATTACGAAACAATGAGTAACAACGATCCAAACATAGTGTTAATTGATTTGGTTTGGTTCCAATATTTGAAAAACCGACTTACTTTATTTGATTTCTTTTACAAAAAAACCGACCCAAACCCAATCACCCCTACAGCCAATTAACGATACGAATAGCGACTAAAAATTCATCTTTCCGACGACCGGGAATTCGAAAGGCGACCATATCACCAGCCATGTCAGTACACGACCAAGCGGCGGCGGCTGTGAAACTAGCTATGGCGGCGGACGGGGCACTTGTCGGCCTAGCCCTAGCGTACATTGCCGTACGGAGTATTTTCATGTTCAAAGCCAACTCTTCCGCCCTTCACAAAATCAACGACGCGCCGTCCCTCCGCGTCTCTGATCTCCGTTCCGTAATTTCGTCGTCTTCTGAAAGTAATGTCAATTCTGATCAATCCGATGATGGCGGTAAGCTTGTGATCATTCGCGGTACAGTGGAGGCGAAATCTGCTGTTGAGGGTAACTGGAAGAGCTTAAGGGCTAATATTCTCTCCGCTCACGAGTCTGCTGAACAAGGCGTTATCTTGCAACGCACTCAAACTGTAATTTCTTCAATTATTTTCGTTTTATTTATTTTAAGTTAATACTTATCATGTTCAATATTTTTGTGCACTAACTCCAATTATAGTAGAGTCCGGATAAAGGAACAGGGCTATAGTTGTGTGAAAACTTGAAAGTCAGTGCTACCTAAGTCAATTTATCATGAATCCGTGCAATATTGGATGCGTTAAGATATGCTTTTTTAGGCACGTAACATCATTATTTGGGTGTGATGAAAAAGATGATATCTTGCAATAGACAAACACTGTAATTTTTCTGTTATTTTCTTTTAAAAGAAGGTTGCATATTTCATATTTAACTTGTTTGTGCACACTTAACTCTGAATATATGAGAGTCTGGATACAGGATTAAGATTAGAGAGGCTTTTAGGTTTGGTTGACAGTCAATGTAAAATTACTCAAATTTATGATGAATTCTCTTAATAATGGATGCATTAGGATGTGTCTCTGCAGACACATGCTATAATGGTATCCGATATAACGGTATCCAAGTGTGGTGAAAAAAAGTCAATTACATTATTTGATTCACACGGTTTCGCAAGCTGGTTATCATGAACTGCTTGCTCTTGTATTTTTAATAACTTGTCCTACATTCAGTTAAATGTTGATGCTCAATTGAAAGAAAGAGCAAACAATTATATGCTTAGCTTGTGTCCCAGGAATCCCTAGACACAGATAGAGGACACGGGCTAATCCTTACGAGAGGAGAAGCTGGTGAAAATCATAGAGCGTGCATGCTACGCTTGGCTGCCTGTGTGTAGGGGTTGTCATGGGCTGCATTCCATCTTCGTCCCATGACCCCTTGGTCGCCCCAGGTAGTATGTCTTAAAGACAATACCTTTTGTAATG